GGGGGGGGGGGGGGTGGCACACTGGGTAAATAGGCTACGGACGGGCAATGGCAAGATTTCTTTTTCTTTAAAACATTTCAAAACTGTGTTCTTTTTAGTTTGCTTTATTAAAGCTATGCAAAATGTTTATCCTACGGCAATAAATTGAGTAAAAAGTAACTAAAAATCGCGTTTTATAATGACCAGATTGGGTTTGTTTTTGTTTTTTTTTAAATTTGGCTTTGTGTAAGAAAAGCAAATTTCTGATGTTTGTGGAACGTCGTTAAAGTGCAACAGTTCTGAAAGTTTTCTATAAATTAATCTTGCTATATCCCATCAGTGGGCCCTGATGTAAAGCTCTGTTATCCAGGAATAGAGCAATTGTTACACCTTAATTTTGATCTCGGAGGGGGGTTACACACACCAGTTGCCCATCAAGTTACAGTCCTTTAGTTACAGTTTGATATGAAATGAATAAAATTTCCAACTCAATAAATTTTTTATATCCAGGTGGAGAACCCCAGCGTGAGGAAGTAGATGAACCCCAGCGTGAGGAAGTAGATGAACCCCAGCGTGAGGAAGAAGATGAACCCCAGCGTGAGGAAGTAGATGATACCTTCAATTGATTAATTTCCCCTCCACAGGAATACATCATAACATAGCATATAAAAATTGTTTTTTAAGACCAGGACTTATGTTAGTTTCTTTCCTTCATATTTAATTTTAGAATTTTAACTTGATAAAATATTAAACAAAAGCATTGAAAAATAATGTAGATTTTTCAATTTTGTTACTAAACCTGTCAGAACTATTTATTAAAGGTCCTAGAAAATTTAAGCCTGATTTGTTAAGGCGTTTTTACATTAATTAAGATAACTATTAGAGAACTGTAAAGATGAAATTTGTTTATGTTGGTTTCTATATTTTATGTTGTATGCTTGGTAGGAACTTGTAATCTGAACTCTTCTTACTGACTGAAATTTTAAAGAAAGTTCAAGAAAATCTCAAATCTCTATCTGTATCAATCCTCTAAAACCTGCAAGAAGAATGAGATTAATAAAACTCTCAACAGTAAGACCAGAAATGTAGTTTACATGTGAGCAGTGTAAACCACAATATATCGGACAGAGAACAAGGTCTTTAGCTGAAAGAGTTAGAGAACATATAGGTTACATTAGAAATCTCCATACAAACCAGCCTACAGGAGAACATTTTAACCTTCCTGGACATGAACTCTACCATCTAAAAGTTAGCGTTCTAGAGAAGGTTTGGGACCTCGGAAAAAGTTTACTTGAAGAACGAGAATCTAAATACATTAGAGATTTTATGACTGAATGATGAATGAACAGAAAAAAATAGTGTTTATTTAATTGTACACTGTAATTAAGTATGTTTTTTTTTAAAAAGAGTTGTTTATGTCCAATTATTTATAAGGGTTAAATACCCCTTCTTAAACAAGCCACCGCCTCCCTCCCCCTCCCCCTGATATCCGCAAAAGTTCATTAATTAGATCGACCCCCACCACCACTCTATACACATACATCTAAACAGTTTGTTTTTAATTTTTGTAACAGAAACAATCTCAAGGAATAATAATTGTCTTAAAACATTTTTTTTAAAGTGAATATTTGAAAATTATCTTTTTTTCATCTCATAATCTGAGTTCGTTTCCCTTATGTCCATTTGACAGCCCAAATTTTTATTTTGAATAATCTGTTTTGTGTGTTTATCTTCTTGTGATTTTTTACAATTTTTTTTATTTTTTTTTTATCGATTTTGATGGTAATTATATCGTTTGAACTGACGAGGGTCAACCCAGACCGAAATATATTTTCAATAAATGTGGAACTAACATCTACTTTTTTTTACTCTACAGAGGTTTGGTCCATCACTATCACCGAATTTTATATCTGTATCTTTATTTTGTTTCGGTTGTGAATTCAAAGCCATTTAAATGTGCATTCGATGTTTTTCAACTTTCTTTAAAATGTGAATATAATATATCGCAAACGGGTCTTATATTGTTATTTATTTCATTCAATGTTTGATATTATTTTCTCTTCACAACAAATTGTAAATAACATAATAGTCCATTTCAATATTTAAAGCATAAGGTGACTATTTCAGGAGCAGCCGTAGTACATTTAAATTTCCGAGCCGGGTCAACCTTTCCGGTCCCAGTTTGAACTGTATCGCCGGGACATTGGGTAAATAAAGCAGACACTCAATAGGACTAGCCGGTGCAACTTTATGTTGTATTTACTTTTATTGAAGGGTCAGGGGTGCGTGATTTGTTTGATATATTTTTGTAGTTATTTTCATAATGAAAAGTATTTTGTTTTAATATATAATAAAACATGTTAGAATTTTCAATTTTTATATATTTAAATTTTTTGTCTTAATTCTGAGGTTGGATTAATTAAGAAAAGTAACTGCCCAGATCTACCTAGTTAAACCATTGCTACTTGGGATATTAATTGATTCCGACCTCTTTTCACCATATCATCATTTAGATTTTTTTTTTGATAATCACTCAAATAAGTTTGTTGTTTGCAATTTAGTTATGCCAATCACAAAGTACAAAATTCTTAGCAATTTGTTAGTTAAATTACAGGGTGTCCCACGAAACGTGACAGTTGGTAAACAGTTTAAAATGTTTTCTTCCACAATTTGTTAACTTCTTTAATACCAAAGTCAATAATAAAAATATTATATAAGAGTCATATTATAGTAAAATTAATTTTAAAGTAAAAAATATTTGAGCAAAAGATTTGGTGAACAAAATAAACTGCAAACAGCCTTTAATATCTAATACAGTGTATGGAATATGACATTCAAAACTATTTACCAACTGTCATGTTTCATGGGACACCCTGTAGTTTAAAGTATAAACGACGATTAAAATTAATTCATCAGTTTTCTGGTCACTTGTAGCTGTAGATTTCTTAAGATCTAACTATCACAGCAAGGGTATATATTTTCGAATGATATTAACAGGCAAAAGAATTAAAAAAAAATATTGAATTAAAATCAACTGGCAAGTTTTACCCCTCTTGGATACTTATTCAAAAATCCATTTATTATAGTTAAAACCAACTTAAAGGGATTGTCGGCATAATTTCAAGTTATTATTAAGATGCATGTCCGATTCACAATTGTTCCCCTTAAAACCTTAAACTGAGCAAAAATTATCCCCGTTTTCATGTTTGAAAATTAATTTTTTTTGTTGCGTTTCTTTATAAAAATGACTTGCAGAATATGCAACAAAAACAGAAATAAATATTTAAGTAATAATACAGTTTCTAAACAGGAAAACGATGTTGTCTACCTCAGTATTTAAATTCAAATCCGTGATTTGAATTGATTTTTTAAGGACCTGATTACTTGTCTCCAACTCCAATTTTCTAACCCCTTAATCTTTATGGTGTAAACTTTTAATATTTTTAGAGCAGTAAGGATATAGGGAGTAAAAATTTTGATTTTGTAACGAGCAATGAGTTGTAGAGATTTGTAAATCATAAATAAAGCTATTAGTTTTGATCATAGGTAAAACTGGGAAATTTATTTAATTCCTAAAATCAAGTAATCGTGAAAATGATTTATAACAAAAACTGGTTGAAAGGGACTACTTTCTACACATTTTGCTTAAGCTTCTTTTCATGATAATCTTTTTAACCAGCTTAGCTTCAGTTCTAAACAAATTGTATTAGCACAGTATAGCTAGGCTTCAGCTTTAAATGAGAGAGCCCTGAAACAAATCAGTAGCTGGTTAATATTTGAACAAGGGTTGGTTCAGGATATCTAAAAAATGTTGTCCGATGAATCCAAACAAACATCAGTTCTCTGTTGAAGCCGTCGAAGTTTTAGTCAGATGCTTTAGAGTGAAGGTTTTTTTATATCGAACTAAAAAGTTGTTAATTAAAACATTCTGTTTAGAATTATTAAAAAGTTACAAATTTGTTTTAGAAATATAGCGCCACCTCTATAATATTTAATTTAAACCAAGAAGACCTAAATCCAGTAAAATCCTTTTGACGGACTTATCCAGTTGGGTTTCCAATCTTTTCTGGCTCAATGTTTTCAGTCAAGGTCTGATAATTTGTTAAATCAAAATAATCTACAACTTCAAGATCTTGAAAAGATTGAAAACTATGCTGCTATCCGAATTCTTTTTTAATACTTCATTACACCATTATAACATAAACTCTGGTCAAACTAACTAAACGGAAAAGATTATATTTATATATTAAACATCTAATATGAATGAACAATTAATGATGAATTAATTGTTCATTCATATTAGATGTTTAATATATATATATATTAAACATCTAATATGAATGAACAATTAATGATGAATTAACATTTCAATTTTCCTTTGTCCTCAGATTATTCTTTTTTCTCAATTAAGATTTAGATGTTGAAAAACAAAACCGTACTGTACATATATTGTATGCAAACTGAGGGTACAGTACTGAACATTACTAAAAGCTGCATAAGAGAACAATTACAATAAAATATTTTTTATGTTTATATCAGGAAGAATAGCTCTAAATCAAAACTAAAGAAAAACAATAAAAATATTTTGGTTACGAAGAGAGACATATTGAACTAAGTCAGAACTAAAAACATTAATGGATTTCATTTTAAATAATGATCAAATTAATGCAGAACAGCTTTTTACCAGAGAACTGGTTTAACTCTTCACAGAGAACTGGTTTAGCTCTCACCAGAGAACTGGTTCAGCTCCCAGCAGAGAACTGGTCTAGCTCTCAGCAGAGAACTGGTTCAGCTCATAGCAGAGATCTGGTTTAACTTTTTGCTAAGAACTAGTTCAGCTCCCACTAGAGAACTCGTTTAGCTCTCACCAGAGAACTGGTTCAGCTCCCAGCAGAGAACTGGTTCAGCTCCTAGCAGAGAACTGGTTTAGCTCCCAGTATGTATTAAATATCAAGGAACAGTTAATGTAACATAGAATTTCGGAAATCTTGAAGAGGAGGTCTAGAGAATATTATTCTGCAGCCGAGTCAAACCGTGTTTAGCAGATTTATCATCCTTCAGACATATAGCAAAGGTGTCATCCTATAAAAGTATTAAGTATAAAAGATTGTCGATGATCGTTGATATTTTTTTAGAGGCAAATCATTTTTATTTTAAAATATTACAAGGAAAATAAATCGTTTTTGTTTTTTTAATTGAATGATAACCTCTGGGGAAAGACAAAGCGGAATCCTGGATCCTGGTTTTAGGAGAATTTAGGAACCATGGGAAACCAATACGGTTTACCGGGAATCATATGTGCTAAACTCGAAGGAGTTCCAAAACTCGTTCTCTAAGACGGATCCAAAAACTTACCTTCGCCAATAATTTTGCCAAAATAAAAATCTTTTGTAGTATTTTTCTTGGGAGGAACGCCCGTAGACACCTTCCTAGTTACAACTGTTGGCACAACTTCTGATTGAATTTTCTTCTCTGTTTTTATTTCTGTGCTAGAAGGATTCTCTAGGACTGGAGACGGTAGATTAACTGGGGTCAGGCGACGCTGGGTCTTGTTGTGATGAGTTATTTCTGACGTATTTACTGATAATTCTGACGACAATCCATTTTTAGCATGGTTTGGATCCATTTTAATCTGTAAATAATTTAATCATGGCCTTTATCTTCACATTATCAATAATAATTAGAATAATTATAACATCGTACATTTACGCTGCAAAAAAATAAACTTGTCTAAGGCTGTACGTTGCGCGGCACTTGCGAAGGTTTCAATCAACTAATCAATATTCAAAATCATTTCAAAATCAACTTTATTGTTTTATGTCGTATCAATTGAACTAATGATCGATTATACATATTCTAATATTCTTTTGAATGTTGTGTCCCATTAAACAGAGGTATATTAAGTGACGATTCCTATTTTGTCTTTATTCTGCATAGGGGGAATTCATAAAAAAAATCGTTTACAGTGGCGTAAATAATGAGGCTGGTTTTGAGGGTTCGGCGGGGTTTGAGGGTATGGCAGGTGTACAGGGTATGGTAGGTGTTGAGAGTATGGCTGTTGTAGATGATAAGGCGGTTGTTGAAAATATGGGTCGAATGGCTGCTGTTGATGGTATGGCTGTTGTTGATGGTATGGCTGTTGCTGATGGTATGGCAGGTGTTCAGGATATGGCGGGTGTTTGGGGTAGTGTCTTTTGCAGTGCCCCTTCATTTGTTCCAGGTTCTTCAGCTCCTGAATAGAGCAGTATTAAAAGAAAATTTATTAAATCTAATTTATTAATACAGGTAAAACTAAATCACCCAAAAATAAACAAAGTAAAAAATTTGATTTATATAAAAAAGTGGTTTAACATAATTACCTTAGGACATAGCTTGCATTTATATGTTACACCATAAGCTCGCCTTACTTTCTTTTGCTTCACATGGAACTCAACATCTAACAAATAATTTTTTTTGTAGAGATGGAATAATGAGGGTTGCGTAAATCCTTTTATTTTAAATGTAATTATAATTATATGACTAAAAATGCATTATAAATGTATCATTTGGATTCTATAAAACTGTATTTGTACAAAACATTTGAAACTGATTTTATTTATTATGTTTAGCGCCCAATGGTGTTATTTTGCAATGAATTGATTCTAGCAATTTGTTTATTTATTATTTAATGTATATTACTTTATTGTTTCACACGGGCGGCCACAGGGGGGGGGGCGGAGTTACTTCCCCCCCCCTCCGACGGATTAAAGGGGGGAGGCGAAACTCTCCCCCCCCTCGACTGAGATTTTGAGGGGAAAAATGTTCCCAATTTGATTAATCGTATGTTCAAGTTATTTGAAGGAATTATGATATTATTGAAATACAAGTCAGTATTTGTTTGTCATTTTCACTTTAATTATGCTTTTAACTATGTAAATTGTACATTATACATTGTACAAACTGTTTAGATTTTTGCAAGAATACAGTATTATATGTAAACTTTATAACTGCATTCTTATACATAAAAAGTATAAGCATGATCTGTACTCAGTAGTTCTTTACATATTAACCCCGGCCCTCTTCTAAAAATGGCTACATTTAATTTTAATTGATTGCTTTTAAAAATTTTAACTTATAAAAAGAAATATTTTTTAAGATTTAACAAATTAAGTGAAAAAAGACCAATAGTATACTGCCTAAAACTGAAAAAAAAATTTTATTTAATTTTATTTAGTATTTTATTTTCCTAACAAAATAAAAATGAAGTTCTCACATGATATTTTTTCTGTTTTCAGAAGTTCTTGGTCCTATTTCTAAAACTTTTTGTTCCTAAAAAATCTCGTCCCCCACCTCCTCCTGTGTCAGCCCCTGTTGTTTCATACCTTTAATATCTCTGAAAGGGTTATTGGAATGCAGGCACAGGCAGAAAAAATCTAGTTCTTTACACTCTTCCTGAAATAGGATGGTTAAAAACAAGAAATCAGTTATTTATTTACTGCGTTAATCCATTAGTGACGAGACAAAAAAATCTTTCCGATTTCGCTGAAATTCAAGTTTCAATTTTTTTCAATGAAGGGTTGTGGGAGTTGTGGAGATACAGGACCCGGTCAATTTTGTCCGGTGTCACGTAAAATAAGGCCCGGGCGTTTTATTTGGTCCGGGTGAGTGTTACATGTGAAATCCATGTACAAAATTGATAGGAGGGGGAAGGGGGGTGGGGGTCAAAAAATCGTATATTAGGAAATTACCACTGCTTAGTGCTTATGTACAAAATTGATAGAAGGGGGGGGGGTCCAAAAATTGTTTACTTTGACGGACACGTCGGCTCGGCACCGGTCAAAATTGACCGCGGGAGATGGCTGACCAGGCCTGTTGACTCGTCACTGTCTTCTGATGTAAAATATTGTAATAAAAATATACAAGGGTGGTTTTTATTTACTATACTGGGGGGAGGGGGAGGGGAAACAGGACAACATTTGGTTTAAAAATGAAGGGGCTAAAAAATAAAAACCTTACCGAGTCACTAATGGGTTAATTTCATTTTGTGTGTGTCCAAACAAACTTATCATATTCAAATGTGCAAAGCTTACATTATACAAAAATGAAAACCTTAACAGTAAAATATTTTAATTACCTTTAGATGTTTGATTTTATCACCAGGTGATGCAAAGGTGATGCTGCATCGGGAACACTTTTCCCACCGGGGTTTGTTTCTTCTTTTCTGTAAATATTTCTTCATAAGCATTCAATTAAACATTGAAAATATTGAAAACAATGCAACCTAAAAGTTATGCTGAAGTGGTCAATAACATTCATACATCTATATATAAATTCGGTTTGTCTGTCTGTTTGTATCCAATAAACGTCGAAACGGCTGAACCAATTGGGCCCACNATCAGGGTTGACCCAACAGATAGAAATAAGATTAGTAGCGATCAAAAGCGCTTTTTTATCGCATTAAGCCTATACCCCCTTTCATTTTTCGCGAACACTCCCTTTAAGTGCATTTGATATTGTTACAAAGCAAATAGCTTATACAAGACACTTATTAAATAACTAATTTTGTGAAATGGGTCTGTCTTCACTGCACAAATGCTGTATCTTATACTCATAGGACTTTTTAAAGTTATGAATTGATTTTGAACGTCGTCTTACTTTTTCATAGTTTTCTGGTTCTCACTGTATCTACATGATTAATATTTTCTTTCTTCAAGAATTCAGAAGCTCCAAATAAAACCCGGTTTCCACCAAAACTTCCAGGAACCAAATATAATAAATTTGAGTTAGGTCGCTGAACTAACTATACCTGCTGGTTCAAATTTGAATCACTGATTCAAATTTTAAGATTCTCGAGGATTAAGCCGGTAATTTATGATTTGAACTGGCGGTAGGTAGCTTAGTGACCTCTCCGATTTATTAAAGGAATTGAGTTTTTGTCACAAACTTAAATTTTTAAATCCCTATATCTTTGGAACCTGATGGAGTAAACCTTTGATATTTCAAACTTAGATTATTTGATCTAACAGTATACTTAGCTTGAAATAAAAAAGGTCTAAGACATTGGGTTCCAAAGATATAGGGATTGGAAAATCAGAGTTTGTGGCAAAGACTCAATTCCTTTGGTCCCAGGCTCGGTATTTAAGGGAAATCCAAAGAGTCGGATCTACACTACAGCCTCCTCATTCAGGAAAGAGGTTGGTGGAAACAACATGAAGTTTTTATCAATGAAAAATATCAAATGAGTTTGAGGTTTATTAAATAGATTGACGACCCCCCCCCTGATATTTGTTAACCTTAAATTAGAAATTCACTTTAGGATTGCAGAAGATTAACATTTTACACTGAAAAACATGTATAAAACTTTAATCTTATATCTATGCATAAATCTTTAATCTTAATATCCTATTAAAGTGGAAAATCATAAAAAATCATGTTCGATAGTATTTTAACTTTAAAACATGTCTCCTTCCCTTCCCCCCCCCCCCCCTTCTTCCTGCAATACCGATAATGTCTATGAAATCATTTATTATTCGTAATCTCTCATGTTATAAATTTTGAAATTATTTATTATTCGTAATCTCTCCACTCTCCAGCTATAAATTTTAAATTTGTTGTTCATTTCTTTTACAAAGCACTATATTAGTCTGCAGGGATCATTACATTTTAATATTTCTAATAAGCATTAACCCTGAAAAAAATTAGTGTTAATTGGTGTGTAAAACAATGCTAATCCCGTTTATTTTTCTACTCACACTGAACTTTAAAATTTATAATGTATTCAGAAAGAAATAAGCATAAATTAGCAAATACGAAAAATCTTCAATTAATGACTGAATTTTATCCAGGACTCTATAATTGGTCGTGCAGTCACTGTGCCTAGCCTATTTTTGTCCCAAAATAGCTGAAAAAATCAAAGACGACCTTTAAGTCGACTCTAAACTAGCCATCAGTCAGTGGTCAGCGATTATACCAATATAATGAAGACGACTTTCTAATTAGGTTTTGATTTATATTGAGTTTTTGTTTAAATTCTAAGTTTACAATTCAAGTAAGAGAAGATATTAATTGACAGTTTCTCTTTGTTTCCTTGTTTATGTGTATCTAAGCTGTTTGAGAGCGTGGTATAAACAAAGAGAATAGAATATATATTAGAGGGGAATTTAGAAAATCCCTCAGTATGAATTTTTTCAGTCCCTTTCAACCTGAAAGGGAGTTCAAAGTGTACAAATCATGTAAAGGTTCACAAATAATATGCAGTAGAGTACATTAATACAGTATGTTGCCTAGACTATCCATTTTAATTTTTTTAAAGCTGTTAAATAAACTTTATAATGAATTAGGTGAATAAAAACATCATTTTATTTATAGTTATAACGAAAAATCATCGTTTGTAAAGTGAAAGGCATAGAGTCTATGTGAAATGATCATTGGTTAATTATGAAACCAGCCTATTTCATAATTTGGTTTTCTTTTTAATATTAATTTTAGATTCTATAAAATGATGTTCCAGGACCCAAAAGGTTATATAGCACAAATATGTGAAGTACACCTGCAGTATGGAAACAGTACAACAAAAAAAATTCCACTCTAATTTATTTTCTATTCTCTATGGGTATAAATCATAAATTGAAATGGAAAGTCGTCTTCATTGTATTGATGTATACGACGGCGACTGAATTTAGTTTGATTCCGTGTACATTTGTCCTTAGATTTTTTTTTCAGTTATTGATTTGATAATTTTACAACTTTTCTTTTCCTTTCTTCTTTTTTTCTTCTAACTTATTTTTCTTCTAATAAAATTGAAAGCTCTGCCTACTCCAAGATGTATTCACTTGGAAAGGACTTCCAGAAAACAGCAGGGTCTAAAATGAACGAAATCCAAAATGTAAAAATAATTCCACACCAGAAGGAAATAGGTAAACCTTCGAAAGACACTTTAATTGAAGCTGAAATTATTGGAACTAGCTTAAATAAAGACCTTGAAACTCAGCTTGAGCCTGCTGAATATCAATATACTGAAGAGACAGCTGTGACAAAAATCCCAAGTCTTCCGCAATCAACACATTTTCCAAGGTTCTTTTCAGCTGTTGTCAAACATTCAAATAGAAAAATTAAATCAGAATCAGAAATTAAAGGTAAAAATCGAACATTTTTGACTAAAAAAGACTGCAAGCGTAAATTCATAGTACATGCCATGCAAAGATGGCAATGCTCGATTCACAACGGTACTATTGAAACCTTTACCTGATTGATGATGTGAGAGATATTATTGATTTTATATGGTTAAAAATTTTTTAATTCTGATAATTCAAAAAAGTTTTTCTGCAGTAGAAATATTGCTAATTAATTCATACTTGATCAAACAAAGCTTTTAAGGCCTACATTCTATATTAATGAAATCATAATTAAGCGAAAAGTCGCTTAATCGGGTGAAAAATCTTGATGGCATCCGATTAGAACGACAAAAGTTTCTTATTTTAAACAAAAAGTCGCTTATTTTAAACAAAAAAAATCGCTTATATTGCAGAAGAAATTGGTGACTGCCAAATAAGCGACAAAAAATCGCTTAATTTTAACAAAAATCGCTTAATTTTTACAAAAAAACAACTCTTATTTCGCAGTAGAATTTTACAGCTTCTCAGTAAGCGACAAAAAATCGCTTATTTTGCAGTAGAAATAGGACATTTTAATCTTTTCATGGAGGGTCATTTGAAATAACGTTTACAGTCCTTTTAATGTTGGAAATTTGACTTCATGATGAAAGACTTTTGACTTAATAACGTGTAAGCTTTGAAATTTCAGGGTAGGCGACTTTTAACATTTAACCATTCGGGACTTTTGATTCAACGATGGACGACTTTTGACTTTTAAAAACACACATTCTAATTTTATTTCAATGCAGGAATGGAAAAAATAGATGTAATCTCAGCTCCATCTATTGGCGGGATATTAAAACAAGAAATATTCAAAATATTTCCAATTTTTACAACGCCAGCTCCTTTCCTTACTACACTTAAGGTAGCATCATTTAAAAAAATCTCTTTCAATAAATTTGTAGATTTTTGTTTTGTTAACTGCAAGCTCACTCACGAAGGATGAGACTGTAGAGACGATTGTACGGAATTTTACTAATGCATGGAAAGTTAATTGCTGTCTCGTTTACTCTGCGTACATATTGAAACCAGTTCATTCTGGGTGGACTTTGTAAACTAGAATAGATGCACGAGTGTTCGTCTGGTATCCGAGGAGGTTTAAAACATTTAATTTTGATAATTATGAAAATTCACATAATAGTTTCCAGAATATTTCATAGTTTATTTTTGTGAAAATGGATTGCATGTCAGGCTTCGACATCCGTCTTGTGTTTACCTTTCCGCCCAAAGACAGTACACTACAGTACAAAAAATGCGTACACCTCTGAAATAACTTTCCTTGCATTAGTACCTTGAGTTCTCTGCAACTGTAAAAACAATGTTTTTTTTTGGCCAAATCATTGTATTAAAAGACTATATTTAAGGCGGAAGACTTAATTTAGTTAATTTAATTTAATTAATTTTTAAGATTCATTCGTCTTTACAATCCCGTCCTTTGTGGGTAAACCAGTATATCATGACACAAATGTATTTGACATGTTTAGACAATGGAAGAAAGAAAAAATCAAATTGTGCGAAACAAATTCAAAGGCATGCTCAGCTAAATCCCCACCAGAGACCATTTTTCCATTATTTCTTGCACACCGAAATTTTCTCCAGAATTTAGCGTAAAAAGCCTATCACTTACCTTTATTGAAAATTTCAAAAGGCAAGCAAACATGATTATATAAATCAATAAATTGTGAAAAAAAAAAAAAAATAAAGTTAAAGGCCATTAAGAAATTTTTTGAATAAAATAACCTAAGTTTTGAATATTAAAGTGTTACACAATAAGGGTGCATTATAGATATAGGGGTTAGAAAGATAACGTATTTACTAGGACACTATGTACATTGTACGTACATTGTATTTTTTGTATGTGAATTGTTTAACAAAAAGATAAAAATGGAATATTTTTTTTAGATTTGCCCAATTTGCGCAATATTATCTAATTGTTTAAAAAATGTTATGTAAAATTTAGTGCAAAATCTGTGCCGCTTGATACGCAAGAATTGCACAAATCATTGCAAAAAATGTGCGAGAAATAAGCGTAATATTTGCGTAAAATGATCTCCCTTTGGTGAAAGCCCAAATTTAGCTGTTGATAGTGTTTAAATGCTTAATTATCTAACAAACACTATGAAAAACTTAAATAAACTTTTTTTGAAAATAATTTACAATATTGTACAAATTGTACAAAAATTACTAAAATCTAAGAATAATTAATTAATTAATTAAAAACATAAAATAAA